GGTTCTTGCACATCATTTTATGATTATTTTATGAACATGTGAAAAAATCTAAGGTTATTTGTTCATCATATATTCATAAATGTATCAGTTTTTTTAAGCTGCTGCTCTAAGTGGTTTATTTTGATCCCTTTCCTCAAAACGGGCCAGCCCTTGTCTCCCAGAGGGAAAACAGAGCAAAACGGGGTTTCAAAAGAGTAACCAGAATGGTATTAGCATCATTAGGCTATAATTATGGTATACAGTCGCCCACTGGCTCAAACCCCAAATTATTAAAGGAAAATATGTTTTAAGTTTATGGACTTGTGTTGGTGACAATAGAAGCTCAACAAAATTGCACTGTGCTACACTTTTTGTTGGTTGTAATCCCATGTTTTTTGCTTATAACCCCATTGTTGCAGGGACACATGTTTTTTAACAGTTCAAAAAAATATATATCAAAATCACGTGTCCTTTGGTCCGAAGGCTCTGGAACATGTCCACCCGTAAAAGTCCCTCCCCCGAAAGGGGTCGTCGTCATTAGTACCATCATTAACAACTATTAAGCATGATTCCATCATTATTAACCATCATTATTAAGCATCATTATTAACCATCCTTATTAACCATCATTATTAACCATCCTTATTAACCATCATTATTAACCATCATTATTAACCATCATTATTATATAACCGTTATTAACCATCATTTGATATAACCATGGCCTCCTTTCTTCGCGTGGCCAGGCACCAGACACCTCGCCGGCGCTCCTGGCGCTGCCTGCACCACCCACACCCTCAAGGACACCTGTCATGGGGACACCCCCTTGCATCATCCATTTTAATAGAATTTTCCATTACCAACCATCCAGCTATTGGGTTACCCGAAATTGCAGGAAACCTTCATATGAATGAATAAACATATTACGCCGGCAAAAGACCCCAAACAGTGTGGGGAGTAGGAAGTCAATGTAGCAGATACAAGCAACAGTAGCTATGGAACAGTAACAAATGAGGTAAGACATGATCACAACTGCAGCAGCAGGACCTTTTATATAGATCTATATAGAGGAGCTCACAATATTTTCATGCAAGAATTTCCTTTGAGAATCCCAAAATCATTTTCATGCAAGCACCAATGCAGAGGATCTTCAAGATATTAATGCAAGGACCTCTTGAGGAAAAAATCCAGCAGGATCCCCACAAGATCTTCCCATAAGGACCTGCAAGGACACCTTGAGAGGATTTCACCAGGACCTCTTCAAGAGCTTCTCACAAGGACTTGCACAAGATCATGCAAAGGCTTCTGACAGAATTTGGCTAGGATCTCCACAAGATCTTCGCACAAGGAATTGTAAACAAAACCTTGGGCAAGGTCTTTATGCCAGGACCCTAAGAGAATCTCACAAGATTGCCATAAAAGGACCTGCTGTTGCGGGAGCGGATCTTACAAGATCTTGATACAAGAGTAAGAGTTTCCATACAAGCACCTCTCAGACATGGCGCCCGCAAGGTCTTCATGCAAGGACCTCCCAGATCTCCACAAGATCTTTCGTTAAGGACCCATACAGGATCATACAAGGACCTTTTAGAGAGGAATGTAGCAGGATCTCCACAAGAGCCCGTCTACGCGAGAATTTATAGGAAAATGCTGCGCCCCAAGAGCTTGAAAAACCCGCGGCACGGACTTTGTGCGAGCCTGCGCAAATCGAAATGCACATGGACATCTCGCAAGAGCCATTTCATGCAAGAATTTACAAGAAAAGTGCCGTGCCCCAAGACTTAGGCCTACGTTTTGTGCGAGCCTGCGCGGTCGAAATCGACATGCATGGACATCTCACAAGAGCAATTTTACGCGAGAAATGCCGCGCCCTGAGAGCTCGAAAAACCATGGACGTCTCGTCTGAGCGATTTAGCGCGAGAATTTGCAGCAGAATGGGCCGGGGATCAGATGGAGAACCCTGATTTAACCCAAGCCTTAACACCTACAGTAAAAACCCTTCAGTGTGGACACACTGCTTGGGGAACTGCCAGTAGGATAGGATAGATAGACATTCGCGGTCAAACCAGTGATGTTTAATTTCATCCTATGTTCCCACTGGCTCCCACCAGTCCCTTCGCCACCAGGCCTGGGGAGTCGGTACAGACCGCTGCACGGGTGGCTAAGGTGGCGCTGGCGGAGGCGTGGCAGTGTCCGTTTTTTTGCTTCGATTCGCTACAATCTGCTACAATTTGTTGCATTTTGCTGTAGCCTGCATTCCTTTCAGATCTATGTTTACGGTTTCTTAAAGGACATATTTGGCCTATGGTTGGGTCGAGCCACCAGCCATGGCGTTGCTGTTGGCTGTGAGAGGCGGAGGAACGACACAGTCGCATCAAACAGTTGCAGCAGGAGATTAAGCGACAGAGAAAGTGGATGTCAGGATACAAGTAAAATGGATGGTTTATGATGGTTTACAATGGGTGGTTTATACTGGATGCTAAAATCGGGGATGCCCCAATCGCTGGATGGTTCATGATGGAAAACCCCGAAGAAAAAGTGGATGATTTGGGGGGGACCCCCATGACTGGAACCCCATGTATGGCCAGCAATGGGAAACCTCTAGCCTCTAGTGAACATCGGTGGCTGCAAAACTTGCCAACTTGATTCAGATGATTTACGAGCTGATGGGGATTGTCAGATGCCAAGTGAAGCTCTGACCAGATCCCCAAGTAAATCTCGGAGGATTTGTGCTGTGGACATTCCACGCATCCATTTGCAAAAATATGCAAAAATAAACTTGAGAAATCATGACGTACGCAATGAATTGCCAGCCATCATGAGCTAGGAGCTGGTCCGACGTCGTGAGGCTTTGTCTAGCAAGGTCGTCCGCAGCGGGGGCTATTCGGGAGATGTACTGCGCGCGCGGCATTTCGACAATGAATTTCTGATCTTGAACTTTTGGAGTCATTTTGGGGTGCAAATTTTGAGTCAAGGAAGGATAGAGTACGCAGAACATTCATAATTGAAATTCACGTCGCTCACAATTGTGAATCAGTGTCTTCAATGCATGGCCGCATCATTGGCCAGCCATGATACTGTCATGCATTGAAAGACACAGATTCACAAGTTGCCTATCATGTGACCACTACATCTCAGGATCAAGGTACCGCCAAAAAATCTCCTCGCGCCGCGGTATCTTCCCCAGGCGACGCCTGTGGAGAGACCAAAGATCGCGGTGGAAGGCTGGGATACTGCCAGAGGGCCACGAGCACGCTGTGTGAAGATGGATGCCCTGCAATTTTAGAGATTTTTGTTCTCCAGTGATTCGGATGATTTCGGATGTTTCCAAGATTAAATTAGCATAGTCCAGATTTGTCCAACAGCTATCCGTATATTCCTCGTTGAATGGGGAGTGAAGGAGCTGCCAAGAGTTTCCCAGCCGCATGATACTTTGAATTGTGAAAGTTCGCGATCCATTTCGGGATTTTGAGGGGTTTAACGGTTCAACGGTTCCATGCTCAGCTTTTGGCGGTCGATGCGTCATGGCCAGGTGCCACTGAGGGTGAGGCGCACGGCGCACTGGGGCTGGCAAGACCCAGGGACCCAGCTCCCAAAGCCTGGCGCGGCCAGGTGGCACTCTCCGAGTTGCGAGAGCAATTGAAGCGCAAGGCCCAGCAGTTGTGTGTTTTTTTGTTGGGGGGTGTTGTTTTAAATGCAACAGTGGTAGTTGGCGACGCCCGACTCTGGTGACCTTTGCACTTTGGAATTTTCGGGCGGATGGTTCTTTTTGGGTGTTGGACGTCCTTTTGGCTCCGCCTCATTATAGATGCGTTAAGTTACCGCCCTGCACAGGAAGATGAGAAGATCGAAGACGCCCCAGGTCTACACAGCCACCAGGTGCAGAGCTTTGTCATCAAGCCTCTGCAATATGAGGTCTAGTGAAATGTGAGCTACCTTGAAGGTTTCTTGGCAAACCATCAGGAACTACTCCAATCTGATTGTGTTTCCTTCTGCATCGTTCAGCAGAGCCGAGTCTGCCAGGCCTTTTTGATCCCACGTTCCAAGAGTCGAGCTCAGAAGGCATGGGTGCCATTTTTGGAGAGTGGCAGGCTCCTGTCATTTTCCAAAACAGCTAAAAAAGCACCTTGCCTTAAGCCATCATAAAACACCATAAACCATAAAACACGATGTTCCATATAATTATATATAATAATTATAATTGAATAGATATATAGTTTTATGTGATGTATTATCTGATACACAAATACACACATACATACATACATACAGACAGACAGAAATAACTAAATAAATAATTGCATAAATACATAAATACATAAATACATAAATAAATAAAATAAATAAATAAATACGTAAATAAATAAATAAATAAAACAAATAAATAAATAAATGAATAAATAAATAAATGCATAAATACATAAATAAATACATAGATTAAAAAAAAAAATATATTATAATATAATATATATATATATTCATTCCGTATCATATGCCGCCCGCATGGCGTTTCCGTACCGACATTTGGGGAAGCTCCACAGCTCTCTGACTTCGGAGGATTCAGCGATTTGGCCCAGGTCAGTCTCAGGTCGCGGTACTTGACTGTAAATACAAAGTGATAGGGCCTTTAGGATCTTTCGGGCACCTGGATGTTTAGTATTTTTTAGTATTTTTTATTTTTTTTAGTATTTTTTTTCTGCACCTGGTGTCACCATCCTCGAATCAATAGTTATGGATGGTTGTAGTATCTTTGGGATGGGTTGATGCCACCCACCAGATATCAGGATATACTCTCTGGAAATCCAACATGCTTTGGATAGGGAAGCCATTTTTAACTTGGGACTATTGCGTTTTTATAATGTCCATTTCAGATCCTTTTGTAGGATGGAATTAAGACATTAATACGTTGTTTAAAGATATCAGAGGGACTCAAGTGAAATGAAATGTTTGGTCTTTCAGAGTTAGATGATGTCAGATGTCCTTCAAACAGATTTCCCCTTTAACGACTTTTTTTAAGCATCTTGCCGGCGCCATGGCCTTCCTTGTGCCTCGTCTGCGACCCTTCTTTCGCAGCCTTCGCGGTGCGGCCAGGGCCAGGCCCACCATTACAAGACTATGCGTGGAGTGGTTTCAAACTTGTTGCCGACCAGTTGCTCCAGTATAGAGAGGGAACATGTGCAAAAACCAATGGTATTTATAGATATTTAGATAATTTCACACAACATTTTTCATGTTTTTTCCCATGCTCCAGGAACGCTGGCTTTCCACCTGTGAGGAGATGTTTCTCCGCGGAGGTCCAGGTGTCTCAGGAGCGTTTGAATGAGTTCCTCCAGGCTGAGGCACAGGGGAAACTGAGATGTTAGGCAAGCGCCGGTAGATTGGCATATTGAAAGCCATGTATTCGTTATGTTATATATTGATATATGTCCTCCCTTTTCTTATTCGGAATGTTGTATTTTATTGGTTTACGGTCAGGAAGGCGTTGATGACCCAAATGTTTTGGTGAACTCATTCAATGCCAGCTAATTCCGCCCAACTTTATAGACACGCCCCATAAGATCCCAATGAACTGATGATGAAACTCCATTTGCAGATGATTTTCACATCTTTCCTCATAGATGTGTTGAAATCCGGCCCGTGCCAGCGCCAAAAGGTGGTGTTCTTCGCCGGGCGCGAGCCCAAGTCCATCACCCTGCGGCAGATCTTGGATGCCAAGACGCCCGAGCAGGCGGCTACCCTGGCGTACCGCGACGCTTGGCGGTTTCGCAGGTGGGGATTTCGCATGAAATTTAAGCCTACGGCCCAAAAACCGGCCCAGCGTTTTTTTCGTTTTTTTGCGTTTTTTTGCGTTGTGATATGTTGGGGGGCGGGGGGTGGGGTGGGTGTGTGTGATAACGTCTTGCGTCTAATTGCGTTATCATCGATATTCTTTGGTGACCAAACTTCATGTTACGTCGCGCACTTCTGTAGTACTTCGGTGACCAAACTTCATGTTACGTTGCACACTTCTGTTGTACTTCGGTGAGCACACTTCATGTTACGTTGCACACTTCTTTTGTACTTCGGTGACCAAACTTCATGTTACGTTGCACACTTCTGTTGTACTCCGGTGAACACACTTCACACGTTACGTTGCACACTTCTGTTGTACGTCGGTGAACACACTTCATGTTACGTTGCGCGCTTATGTTGCACTTCGGTGAACAGACTTCATGTTACGTTGTACGCGTATGAGTTTGTGAACCACTCCAAAGGCCAATTTACAAAGACTGCGCGCCGTGTCCAGCGAGGCAGCCCAAAGGTGCTTGCTGCTTGCACATACTGGTACAATAGATAGTTGCTGGAAGGCCTGTAAAAAGATGCTGCCAGGTAGCCTGTCTAGCCAAAGTCCAATGATCATGACATATGTCAAGGCTTGGCAATGGCAATGCGCACATCGAAATGCTGATGTGTGTGATATTTGATATTACTGCAAAGATGGTCCGCAAGTTGAAGTGATGGAAAAGAATCGCTGGCGCTGTGGCGAAACGCAAAACTATCCAAAAAACGTAACGTATTTTGACGGTGTTCAACATGCATTTTTGAACTCCCACTGCAACAAGCAAGGAATTTTCATAAATCCCAATGGAAATGAAGTGCCAAAAGACACCACCATGATATAAACATGTGGCAAATGCCAAGTTCTCGACAAGACGAAAATCACAATGAACATGAAAATTGCTGAAAACGCTGGGCCGATTTTCGGGCCGTTCGGAAGTTTCAGTCTAAGTGTGAAACATTGAGATCTGTCACCGCCCATATGGTATGAAATCGTTAGATGTGAAAGACTAAGATGATCAGATGCGTGTGGTTCAAATCATTGGGGATATTGTGGCACTTCTTTGGGCATAAAGGGGACCGACCTGGATGTGATGAAGGGCTGAGTGGCTGATTGGCTTCGAGAACTTTGGGAGAACTATCAACTGGAACGGCCAAAACCGGTGCAGAAGCTTTTCAACACTTCGTGGGAGAATTTCTGCAAGGAACTGCCGCCACTCCCGAACAAGTCCAACCACTCCGACGTGCATGACTTCCCGCACATACTTATGCTGCTACTTTCCTGTCCTATTAATCCACAGCCCTTGCGGTTTGCAAAAAGCACCGAAGAGCTAATGCAAGTTATACATTTATGCCTGTTACGTTAGGGTGGGGCCCCATTTGTAAAGCCACATAGCATCTAAATATATACTACCCCTGTAAAAAAACACAAATGTGCGTATTTGCAAGGTGATGTAGCACAGCCTAGCGTACCATAATGCAATGCTGTAAAAGAATGCATGCAAATACCGTATTTTGCTTTATATCCGTGCATTTCACATATATATATATGATTATGCCTAACCTATCTATCTATCTATCTATCTGTCTATCTATCTATCTATCTATCTAAATATATATATACATACATATATACATATATATATATATGTATATGTGTGTGTCTACATAAATGCACAATATCTCTATCCAAACGTGAAGCACTGAGGCATTTGTCCCCGCACTTGAGATCCCCCATTTGTGGGTCCGGAGGTCATCCCAGAAGCCCAGGAGCTGCCCATCCGCTATGCCCAGCGCATTCTGCAGATCGAGACACTGCCTGGCTGGCAAGCTTCCCAGGAGCTCGTGGAGGCGGCATCAGAGCAATCAGCTTCCAAGACATGGCCTTTGAAAAGACATGGGGGTATGATATCATATATTCATTTTTACTCTATTGTTTTCCCAGACGCGCACACACACATATCATATCATATCATATCATATCATATAATATCATATCATATCATATCATATCATATATATATAGACACAGATACACATACGTATACACATACATAAATACACACACACATATATATATACACATACATACATATATACAGAAAGACGGAGATGCAATGCGATTGGACATCATTCTTCGCTGCGGGTTTTGAAGGTTCCATGTGAGCTATTCTGTTAGATTTCAGGGGTTTTTGGTCATGGAATGAGGGTGGGGAAGACAAGGAAGACCTCCACCATATCTTTCATGATTTCAATGGCCTCTCTGGGCCACAGCTGATCAGTACTGGGAGGTTCATCGCCTCTACTCTGAGAATTTCAAGGACATTCGGCTGGTTGAGTGCCTCGGTGTGCCAGATGGTGATGGATCAGGGCTTGGATGGGGCCGCCCAGCCAAAGACACACAGCCTGTAGGGTAAGCCAAGTGATAAGCAAAACGTGCCAGCCGACGCCTGGACAAAGACCCATGAGGAAATGAACTGGAAACAATCTTTCAAACAAGGTCACCATAGTTGCTATAGTCTTCAAGAATCTTCTGGGCCATTTCAAGTGAGCTCCGGTTTCCTGTGGATCTCCTATACAATTTCCATTCCCACGAGGCTCAACTTGAAGGAGTTGGAGCCCTTTACTGCAGTCATTGGAACCATCAAGGGCCGCATGAAGGAGGCGAAGTGTTTGAAGCTGAACCATGGTCGGCTCCAAAGAAGATGTGCCAGTTGGGTCGTCCCAACAAATCGGGGCTGGAGGGGGATGCATAAGAAGAATGTATCTGAGGTTCACATGCGTGTAATTAATAATATTGTATTGTTATTTTTTATTTTTAGGCATGCTCATGTTCGTATGTATGTGCACACACACACACTCTCTCTCTCTTTTTTCCCTCTCTCTTTCTCATGGCAAATCCATCCCGGAATGTTTCCTGGATGAGACAACGTTGAAACTTGTTGGACTTTGAGGTGCCCCAGATTTGAGCTTTTGTGCGCGGAGGTCTTTTTTCCATTCAGCAGGTTTGATATGCAGATGCTCACTGCAATATGTAGTGGTCAAAGGCCCCAAAACATTTGTTGTGCAACGTTTAGGCCATCAGGCTGAAATTGCCGCTTCTTGTTATTTGTTGGCATATATTACTATTATTGAAAGTTACTAAGCGCTACTATATGTTACTATATGACTATATGTTATTATATGTTTCCATATGTTACTAGATACTATGTTGCTACAGGTTACTATATGTTTCTATACTATATATGTTACTATATATGTTACTATATATGTTACTATACATGTTACTATACATGTTACTGTATATTACTATCTGTTACTATTACGAAAGCCAGCCAAAGGCTGAGCGAAGTTGTTCCATGCGAACGAAGTGAGATAAGGGGGAAGGGGGTAGTGGCTGACGTGGAGGCCTCCAATCCTCAGGTAGGTGGTGAGTAGGGTGTGCTTTTTGTCCGTTTACCATCGTTTACCCTGTTATGTACCATGGGGCAAATGGGTGACGGTGGGTATCGATCCCTTCCTGGTCCGCTCGGTTGGGGTTACAGGGTTGTGGCATGGCGGGCTGTGCGAGCTAACATGTTGTGTGTGGCATTCTATATCCGGTTTTGAGGGGGTTGTACAGTTCGATATGCCGGTCTTGGGAGAGGGTGAGTTTGGAGGTGGCGTGGACTTCATTGGATAGGGACGTTGAATTTTTTGCAGTCGGCGACGCAGAACTTGGCGGTGCAGAATATGTTTTTGAATGGCTTACCAGAGCATGATGGGAAGTGCATAATATGGTTTGCGAGGGAGGGTTGATCGCAGGTGTCCTTTTTTGGAGAGCGTGGTTTAGATGGGGGTGTGTTTGTGGGAGTTGGGAGCCCGGTGCACCTTATTGCACAGCATGAACCTGCGGGCAGATATGTGTGGGTTCGTTTCCAAAGCATTTCAACCTTCGGAGCGTAATGGGACCATGATGTCTATGTTAACTAGATCGTTTGATGCGTAATAAATACAACCCGTTGGAAAGGGTGCTTTTGGGGGTGGCGCATCGGCAGGTGATTCCCATGTTGGCCAACGCCATGCGAAATCTGCAGCAGACCGAAGGCTACTCCGAGGCCGCGATCGTGCAGTGGCTGGACGCCTTTTTTCTCTCGCGCATTGGGACGGTGCCTGGGATAGCAGATGCCGGAGGTCACAGCAAATACTATAAAATATTGGGCATATGAGATGTAAATAACTATCAAACATGTTTTTTTTAAAGATATGATAACTATGAGTTCAAGTGATAATATGTGATAATTGATGCCATAACATGACACAAAACACCATATATAAGTAAATGATAGTAATGATAGCAAATCTTCATCCTTGGAATTGTGGTATAATGTGGTACCAACAAAAAGTACAACCATATTTAAAGTCTTTAAAAGGTGCCGTTTTACTTTTTGACTCATCCCCATATCCCCATAGCGGTAGGGCCTTTGCCAGGAGATGTTGACCTCTCAATACATGGCCTCCGCCAAGCCGGACGTCACCGCGCGGCGGCGGCGCGTGGGGGTGGTGGACTATGCCTGCGATCCGGTGAATATCTGCGAACAGGCGGCCAGGTGCCCTGGGTTGTGGCACCCCATGGTATGCCATGGGGTCAGGAAATCCTGGAAAATTTGCCAAAATCATGGGATATCATCGAGTCGTGGGCTTGAAATTTTCATATTTTGAAGTCATGATTTTGGCTTAGGCCAAAGTTTAGCTGACCGGAAACACTTCGATTGATTAACTGAAAAACCGTTCTTCTCAACGCTACTTTTAGCATTCCGTTTTTTTGGTTCTGTTTTGTATTGTGTTGCCGTTCCGCTGTCGGATGGATTTGGGAGTCTCAGGTGGGCCCTTGCCACCGCAGAACCAAGTATATAATGCATGACATGTCTGACATGAGATGATCGTTCAATTCTGATGGAAGCGAGGGTTACGAGATCTGAATTTGAATACGTTCTCCTGTGCAACCGAGAGCAGGGGTAAACCAAAGGATAGAAACGAAATGAGGCTCAGTGCGCGCCAGGCATGCCCGAAAACTGTGCAAGCAGCACTACGACGATTCTGCGGATGTTGAAATTCTGGTGGAGAGTAGCATTGCCTCCAGCTTTGAGATTGAGCAGCTTGCCTTGCCAACCGCGAACAATGATTTTTTGAGAATAGTTAAAGCATGTCATTTTTGTCACCCCATTGTTCCATCAATTGGATTGAGAGGTTGACACACGTTAAGCATAGAAGGGTTTGGTTGTGGAAGGAACTACAAATACGTCATGTCGTGAAACTTGTTCTACCTTCGTTACCATACTTTCTACCCTGATCCACTCTTTGGTTTCCGCATTGTGTATAAAAAAAACCATGTGCACGCATACATCAGCCATCATTTTCCCACAGTTTTCAGGGATGAACATTGGTTTTAGCCTCAGGAGCCGCATTCGATTTCCTTATGTGCCCAACTATTTATTCTACATCATGGTCGCATCCTGGCCCAAAGGTCGAAAGTGGTTGCATGGGCCTGTGGGAAGGGAACGTGGAATTTCCAGTAAGTTGAGGTGACAATCAAAGTTTATTTACATCTCATCATCTCTAGGGAATTTTACTTGCCAAAAATGTATATGCATGGAGTTCACGCGCAAACACAATGCACAGGCCTGTTTCCATGTTGCCAAGGGCCTCTTGCATTCCATTGAGCTAGCGCTGCTACGCCGTATACGCAATGCACATTTTTGTCATTTTTTCTGGAATAGCTTGGTACGTTGATTCCTCCCAAAAACGCAGCTTTGCCAAAGACTCACGGGGGATTTCTGACATATTTCTGGTGCTCAAGGAGCTGTTGAAGAACAGCGCTCGCGCCACGGTGGAGGCACAGCAGGCGACTCCGACGGATTCTCAATGGGATATCATGGGATACCGGGGGAAATAAATACCATATATAGTGACGGACAATCACTTAGAACGTATTTTGGAAAAAAAAATCTGAATATTACTGTTTTTTTTACGTTCTAAGCCTTGCACTTAGAACGTCGAAAACCATACACTTAGAACGTCCAAATATCAAGATTCATCACTTAGAACGTACCGGGGATTTAACACTTAGAACGTGTCTAGGTCACTGATGATAGTGGAAACGGTGGGTACCTCATCGATTTTCTCGAAGGTTTTGGATTGTAGAAGTATTTATATTATATACATTTATAATGTATGTATTTATATATATACAAGTATATATACATATCATATGGTAATTGTTCATAATTATAGTGGCGGACAATCACTTAGCACGTTCTAAGTGTTGGTTTACGTTCTAAGTGATAAATGGGCCTAAGTGATATTTTGACGTTCTAAGTGATGAATGTTCCCTACGTTCTAAGTGATGAAATTTTGCTACGTTCTAAGTACGAAAAAAAAAATGGAAAAAAAATTACGTTCTAAGTGATTGTCCGTCACTATACAGTAGACTATCCAAGTCTATATGATCTAGTAAGTGCAGAATATCGCTGCTTGCTTTCTTTCTTTCTTTCTTTTCTTTTCTTTCTTTCTTTCTTGGGAGATGACAGGCATACCATGGTATGATTCAGGTGAGTTTCACCCGTCAAAATTCATCTCGATGTCAGAGGATCGTAGAAACGCTTCGAGGGAAAATCTAGAGGAACCCCCTTGATGGGAAAAGCTGTGGTTTCCTGGAATTGTTAAGAAACACAGGGAGGATTTCCAAAAAAATACTGTGTGATGCTTTCCATCCCAACATCCTAAATGGGTTTGTCTGAAAATAGATGAACATAGGGTATTGTAGCCCAAACTCCACTGGTTACTCACCATTTTTCCCATATTTTCTCATCAATTTTCTATAAACTGGTGGTATACCCCATTTCAGACACACCCATATCATATCGTTGGTTCTAAAATCCCATGAATAATCCCATTAAATCCAAATTTCTAATGATGATATAAGCCCCAATTTTTCTTGGTTCCATATCCCATCATTTCAATGTTTGTCCCCCAGATTTTGCCAATCACCCAGCACCTTCTGGTCCTGGTCGCCAGGAGTCGCCCGGGCAGCGGCGGTCGATTGTGATTACAGTGGGGGCCGATCCCAGCGAGGCGCCAGTGGTGTGTTTTGGGCCATGGGAAATGGCCCATTTATAGATGGTTTACCATGTTTACCTATTAGAAATGTTGATTTTCCATGGCTATGTTAAATAAGCAGATGGTAAACCATGGTGAATTAAACAGGGTAGCAGATAGATGGTTCTTTTTGGTATAAACATGAAATAACATGAAGGTCCGAGGCTGGAACATGAGCATATTTTGTGCCAAAGTTGTTCAGCTCAGTGGCAGGTGGCCATCCGTGTGTTGGACCAAGCGGGCGGCATTCCCTTCCATGCGGCGGATAAGGTTTGGTCCTACATGTACTCCACCGCCTCCAAGGTGCGGCAAAATCCTGCACGAAAATCTGGGAAAATGATGGGACCATGCAACTTGCATCAACATTCGTGAAATCCCCAAATAATTCACGAGATGACGGTGAATTTCGTTCGGTTCAGTTCATCCCCAGATTGGGTCGAGTAGTTCTGTTTCGTCATGGGCCTAGCGTGGAAGCGAGGAAGTGGGTCCCCCAGTCCTCTTTTTGCAATTGGACATGGCCAATTCGGTGACGTGTGACAGTGTGACACATCCTCTCGAAATCGAACAGGCAATTTGCCAAAATTGAAAGGTTCCAACAGGCATAGGAACTCCCGCGCGTTTTTTCCTGGAAAATCAAGTCTAAAAGGGGGCCTTAGAGGGGGGAACTCCATTGCCAGGTTTAGATCGCCAGAGCATTTTTCATACTCATATATATATATTATATATATATAATTCATCCACCTGCAGATGAAACATCCTATTTTACACCCATTCCATCCAATTCTTGGACCAAAATCACTCCCATGAGACAGCAATACTTCATAATCTCATCATATTTCCATGATATTTCCATCATATTTCCATATATTTCCTATTTTCTTTGCCAAGTTTGACCACGGAAACAACGTTTGACATGCTGCGGAGCGCCCTTCGGGCCGCCGTTTTTCCAGGCGGCCCGGAACTTCGATGAGCAAGGCACGCCCTTGGCGGGCTATGGCGTGGGCCTTCCCCTCAGCAGACTCTATGCCAGGTGGGTAACTGGGGGACTGGTGATTTCAGTCTGAGTTTGGATATGTTTGGATGAGTGGATGAGTAACCCCCAAAAAGATGGAACAGATCTTAAATTCATTCAAATTCATCTTTATATATTTTAATTGGATTTTGCTCTTCCAGCTTTTTTATGATTGCGATAATATGTCCAATGAGCTGCTGGGTGGATCCATGCTTGATGATGTTTGATGCAATGCGTGTTTCGCATTGGATGTCGCCAGCTGTACTCACGGATTCCAACTTTGAGAAGATCCGAATCATCAGAAAGTACTACTGCTTCGCACCAGCTCCAAATCCCAATGTTTGCACAATTCGGCTTCATATTATGCGGCGAAGCACGGTTGACTAGTACTGGCATATGTAACAACCCTGACGCCGAAAATATATCAGATTCATGGCTTTATTCTTGAACCTTTGTTGTCAGCTTTTCCCTCGGTTCAGCATGACCTCGAGGTATTTGGGCGGATCTTTGCACTTGCAGTCGCTGCCGGGGGTTGGTACATGCGCCTATTTGTACCTGAAACGCTTGGAGAGTGAAGCCAGAGAGGAGCTTCCTACCAGGAGTTCTGTTAGCAGCTGCAGCTTGGTTTGAGCCTCAAACATATATGTCCGGAGAATTCTAGAGATGTTAAAAGCAGATGGAAGTATATAGATTTCATGCTTCACTTCCTGATGAGATTTCTTGATTGGGCTGGCATATGCCCACCATTTCATGGTTGCATCGGTTGCGGCTCTCCTGATGCCCTGCTAACGGGCTGAAACTTGGCTTCGGCGGAGTTTCGGGCAAGGTCCCCGAGCCGCGCAGAGGATAGTTTTTGGTCATACCCAGAGAGAGTTATTGATTGTTATTGAGCATTCCTGAGTGATAATTACTGTAAGTGACTATAAGATCTAAAAATATCAAGTGCTTCAGTAAGCTTGGCATTGCTCGGCTATACCGTTGGAGACAGCCCAGCATCAAATGGTGGGTCCATGCATCGAGGCCCCAGAAAGTTACACCAGCGAGGTTTCACCCAAAGTGGAGCGACCTTGCTCGGGCGATGCCAAAAGTGCCGTTGATGAGTGGGAATGTCTCTAAATGCTACTGATTTTAGGTTGAAGGTACCATTGTATGGCATGATATAGCCAACCAATCCTGCTGCATTTCCACCAGAACCACAGGGAATCGATCTTGAATCAGCTAAATCGCTTCACAACCAGCTTCATGTGGAGAACATTACATGCTGCTGTCCTTCAGAAATTGTGCTGCAGTTCCTATCGAGACAAACAGCAACTGGATGATCGTTCTGTCAAAATTACCCTCATATCAATTCCTGGAATGACCTCGCGATTTGCCTGACATCATCGGCCCAACACACGGGTTTCCATTGGATATCATTGGATCAGGCATTTGTGGAGCAGGAGGTGGCTTGGGGCGACCTTAGAAGTTTTGAGAGACATGAAGAACTGGGGTGCCGTGGCCTCTGACATTCCCCCGCATTTCGACATATTTCGACTTGTTTCTGTCCAAGAACTATCAGTGTACCCTAAACATGGTTTGCCACTGAAACAAGTGGCAACTTTGGGGCGGACCCAAATCACTTAAAATACTTAAATCGCAAGTCTTGATGGCTAAATCAGATGAATCATGATGAATCCCTATTTCCATCCATTTCCAAAGGATTCATATTTGCATCCCGCCTGCAGACCCCAGCAGTTCGAGCCTCTGGTGTGCGGGAGGCTCTTCATGGGGTTCTGCTATGTTCTGCTGAGATGCCCACGATCAAGACTGGTTGACAGTTAACATATTTTAACCCATGTTAACCCCCGGTATGTAGGTCAATGGGCGATTTTTTTTTGCAATGGGGAGCTCTACATACATTCTACGCGTTCTGATTCTTTGGTTTGAGGGTCACAGTGACACTGAGTGGCAAGGGTCAGCGGTGAAAATCCAATCATGGTCAAATTGGAGTCCTCCAGTTTTCACACTGATGATGTGTTGGTATTTGCCTTCAAATACTTGAGAAGCTTTGGAGCGGGGACGTGTCCAAGCTGCAGATTCTACTCTTTTATGATGAGAGTACAAGTACGAATTGCATCACATGCCAAGGAGTCATGTGACATGTTTGCTAAGCTCCCTAGTCTCTCTAGTCCTTTATCATCCTTTTTGATCCTTTTTGGCTGTTTGCCGGTTATTGTCCATCATCCTGCAGAAGCCAAAAATGCACCGAATCACAGGTCGCGCAGAGCCCAGCATCGGTCAACTCGGAGGCCGTGGTATTTTTTCTTCCCTGCCCGTGTTTGTCCAGTGACCACCAGTCACCGGCTGATAGAACTAGCAGCAAAATGGCTGAACACTTTTGGACAAACAGAAACATTGCAGAACTTTAATATCTTTAATCAAATTTAAAGAAGAACATGGAAGAAAATGGTTCAGCAAAGTTGGCGCACAGCCACCAACAATACTGGGCAAAGACGTAGCAACAATGATGGCACAAATGTGGTGATACCCCCGGTGCCAGGTGAAAAGACGAGATGCTCAGGTCAGATAGCTTGAGTTAATCCACAGGTGGATGGATTTGAAGCGAAGTATTATTCCGGGATCCAAGTGAAGTTTTGGGGCCTGCAGTTCTGATTCATTTCTGTCTTCGCTGGAAAGAATTATCGAACAAAAAAACATGTGATTCTGGTATTTCCTATTTGATTATCCATGCTGCTGGTCCAATGACCGCCAATCATCGCCAAGCTGATTTGAAACCGGTAGGAGTTGATCCATCAGGGTAGCTCTGTACCACTCCTTTGCCAGGCGAAAGATGAAGGCATGGTGGATGACCCCTGGCATGTGAAGGCAGGGACAAGGGGACCCGAACGACCCGAGATCAGCGTGTGGAAATGGTGAGTTGGCTGGTAAGCATATCTCATGATATCTCCAACTTCAAGATGCACCCAAACTGACCGCCTCATTGGCAGGGCACGTTTTACTTGTTGCCTCTTTGCTTCAGTGACCAAATGCATGAAACAGCATGACTTTTCTTGGCAAGTCTTGTCAAAATCTTCATTTCCAAACAACTTATCAAACGCACTGAGGGCACGCCAACATATCATTTGTTGACTGTTTGTCCTAAAATTTACTGATTTCAAGATGACCATAGATGATCACAACCCCGGGACGCTGCAGGAGCGGCTGGGAGCCCCTCCAGGACGTCGCTTGATGCTGCAAGAGTTGCTGCGGATTTTCTTTGCGGAGGCTGTGCATGGTTAGATTCCATATAATCCATAAATATATATATATATGATATATGTATACATTTATATATATATATATATAATTATATATATCCGATATCCATGTATTTTTTCCCCATATCATATTTGTGCTTATTTGCCAATAAGCACAGACGCATACATGGTAAGGTAGGTAGGTAGATAGGTAGATGGATAGATATATTGTATATACTTAAATATACATATATATATACACATATTTATGAACCATATACGTATACATACATGTACTTATTTATATATATATATATGTATACATACATATACAATCATATACATATACATAAATATATATATATGTACATATATGCGTATATATAAATATGTATATACATTTACATATATACATATACATTTACATATATATAATATACATATACTTATATACATACGTATATATATACATGCATACATAAACTGACATACACATATATATATACATAGGCACATACATATACATACATATACATATACATATACATATACATATACATATACATATACATACATATGTATGTGTATGTATATATATATACACTTTTATTTACATATTTACAGATATATTTATATTTACATAACATACATACATACATGCATGCATGCATGCATGCATGCATGCATACATACGTACATACATACATGCACACATGCATACATACATACATACAGACATACATACATACATACATCAATCAATACATCAATACATACAATACATACAATACAATACATACAATACATACAATACATACAATACATACAATACATACAATACATACAATACATACAATACATACAATACATACAATACATACAATACATACAATACATACAATACATACAATACATACAATACATACAATACATACAATACATACAATACATACAATACATACAATACATACAATACATACAATACATACAATACATACAATACGTACAATACGTACAATACGTACAATACGTACAATACGTACAATACATACAATACATACAATACATACAATACATACAATACATACAATACATACAATACATACAATACATACAATACATACAATACATGCAATACATGCAATACATGCAATACATGCAATACATGCAATACATGCAATACATCCAATACATGCAATACATGCAATACATGCAATACATGCAATACATGCAATACATGCAATACATGCAATACATGCAATACATGCAATACATGCAATACATGCAATACATGCAATACATGCAATACATGCAATACATGCAATACATGTACAATACATACAATAGATACAATACATACAATACATACAATACATACAATACATACAATACAATACAATACCATACCATACCATACCATACCATACCATACCATACATACATACATACATACATACATACATACATACATACATATATACATACATACATACATACATACATACATACATAATCATATTTAATAATACATACATAATCATACATACATAATCATATTTAGTCATACATACATAATCATACATACATAATCATACATAATCATACATACATACATCCATACATCCATACATACATCCATCCATGCATGCATGCATACATACATACATACATAAATATACATATATACACATTTACATATCTATATATATACATATATATATATACTTATGTATACTTATTTGCAAATGTATATATATATATACATATACAATATATATATACACACATGTAATGTATATATATATATACACTATTTAATTATTATTTGATATTATATCATATGTGGTTGCCCGCTCACCAGAACCTACGTTGAGCATTTTGTGTTGGTATTTACATCATGCTTGGGTATGGACTAGGTTTGCCCAGCATGCATACAAATGCGATACATTATGATATAGCCAATTTTATTTCTAGCTATTTTGATAGGAACACTGCTTTTAAACGCGACATTTTCTATTTTTGTGAAGATCTTTCGGCTTTGTCCAGTAGTGAGAAGTGTGCAAGTGTTTACCAATGCCGGGTGGCAACATGGTTATGTGGATCCATCTGCTGACGAAGGTGCAGCAGATGAAGCTGACAAGGTCAATCTTCAGGTGCTGTGCTTGACTGGAGAATGAGTGACACTAAGTGTCCCTCGCTCTATGCTTGGGTATGACCTTCGGAGGTTGCTGTCGGAGAAGCTTCCACGCAAGCCAGGCGCAAAGCTTGCCGTGCATCATGTGAATGCAAAGCTGACGCTGGATCAAACCTTGGGAGAGCAAGGGATTGTTGGAAAATCGGCAATGCTGTCCTGCACTTACACACCAACAAATGTGTACACTGCATGGTGTTATGTCTGTGGGCTCCCGACTTG